GTAGGTTTATATGTTCACTACCACATCAAAATGCAGAATAGTTCCTTATGTAGTTTTCCATGGTACAGATGTACCAGTTTTATTCAACTACTTACATGTTGAAGAACACCCTAGTTGATTCCAGATTTGGTTATTTTGTAATACTACTATTATGAATAAAACATTGCTATAATGAGTAAGTACATTTGTGTGGTTTTTTTTTTGTGTGTGTGTGTGTGAACATGAGTCTTCATCTATCTGGTATAAATGCTCATGTGTCTATTTTTGTGTCATAGGTTAATTGAATTTTATATTGCAAGAGACTGTGAAATTCTGTTTCAGGGTGGCTGTACTTTTCTGTTTCTTTTTAATTTTTCAAAAATTTGCTTACTAGAAAATTTAAAATTTCATATGTGATTCCTCACATTCCTGTAGGACAGTGCTGTTCTGGCCTAGAGCAAGGACATTTTCTCTCCCTCAGATTCTTCCCATGTGCCTTTCTATCTGGAGTGTATCTCCATTATTCCTTCTCAAATGCACGTGAACTTTTATGAAACAGTGGTTAAGAGAGGAATCCAAATTTAGATGGCCTAGGTTTGGATCTTGGATATACTTTTTTACCAGCTGTATGATTTCTTAAGGTATTTAATGCCTTTGTTCCTCAGTTTTCTTATCTGTGAAAGGGGCAGTTGTAGTATACTGATCTGACTGATGTGAGGACTAAATGAGTTATCAAATGTGAATTTATTTCCCACTGAGACACTTCTGCCCTTCTGCCCAGAGAAGGTTTAAATCTTCATATGGGCTTCCATTCTAGACAACACCCTGACCGAAATTGTAATTGTATGACAATTTCATCTCTCTCCTGCTAAAGGACTGAATATCATCTACCTGATTCAGTGCTAAGTCCTCAGTGATAGCAGAGAACTGGGCAATGGAGATACTTAGAATGATTGAAGGAGTAAATTTACTACAATGTAAGCATAAGTCTGCTTAAAGTATGATTTGAATTAATTTCTTCTATTTTTTAAAAAAAGATATTATTCATGGTCTCAGATTCAAAAAATAAGGTCTCTAACTGTAAGTTGTATGAACAGTTTTTATATGAAGATTCTATGTATTGTGGAGTAAAACTGTTCTTGTGCAATGGCAGAATTAAAGGTAAAAAATTCAGAAGATTCCTATTTATAATATGATACTCTTTGATAGATTTGATTAATTATTCAGTTTAACTGATTATTTTGTTATTATGCTGAGATTCCTTAAGTTAAATAAAATTCATGTTACTTAACTTCTTCTTTGGGTTTTAATGGGCCTTTTGAAGACTGAACCCCCAAAGCTTCAGGAGGTGACAGTGTCATAGAAATACTTCTTCATACTTATGTTGATAATTTTATCTCGTTATTCCAATTATTTAAGAAGGCATTAATTAGGCAAAGTCTACATTATTTTTGGAAAGGCAGAATAAACCATCTCATAACACAGATGATTTTCATTTACCTACTCTATTTAAAACCCACATGGTACATCATCTATCATTGTCAACCACATACATCTTTTACACACACACATACACACAGACACACACTGAACACACACACAAATACAGTTAGCTGCCTTTATCTTCTCACTTACTGAAGTTGGTTACTATGTTAGATAGAACAAGGACATATGGTCACTTTGACCCAGGTAAGTGAGGCTTCTGCTCTCTAACTATTAATTCTGTGTCTTGAGAAAAATAATTAACATGTTTCACCATTGATTTTATTTACTATATAATAGGAATGACACCCAGAGGAATTGCACTGATGACTGTGTTACTCAGTTTTTTGTTATTGTGATTTACCCAACAATAACAAGTTATAGGAGATAGTTTATTTTGGCTCATGGTTTCAGAGGTTCAGTCCATGGTAGGCCAACTCCATCGCTCTGGGCTTGAGGTGCAGCAGAACATCCTGATGGAAGGGCATAGTGGTAAAAGCTGCTTACTTCATTATAGCCAAGAAGCAGAGAGGAAGTGTGA